GGGGGGGGGGGGGGACAAATGGCGACCAAGTGTTGAGCGGGGTTTCGGCGGATGAGCCGCCCGGCCCGGCAGCGTGACAGAGCCGCGGTCCTATTCACATGGTGCCGCTGAACAGGTCTCTCACACTCACTATGATTCTATGCACGGCGTCTATAGATATTATTCTAACGTCGCCCATAAAACACTCGCGCACAATCCTGCGTAGCACGATTTCGCATACACCGCACATTTGTAAGATCTCTGACAGGGGTTAGTGCACTAGTTGCAATGCTATCTATCTAAATCCCCGAGTGATCATTTTCTAAAGCACTGTGTAAAATGACTATGTCAAACTAGAGTACACTTTACAGCAGTACGCTGGTCATACCGGCTCGACAAGTGTGCGTCTGAGCAGGCGCGATGCAGCGGTGCGCTGGCCACCCCGGCCCGGACGCAAGTGTGCGTCTGAACAGGCCCGATGCAGCGGTGCGCTGGCCACCCTGGCTCGGTTGCAGGTGTGCGTCCGAGCGACGTGACCTTCACGGTTGTGTTGCGGTGGTGCTGGTGTTAAGCGCGATGCCTTTGCGTGTTAAATCGTAAGTTAAGATTCGGGATGATTCCTTCTTCGCCGTCCGCGTAACTCGGAGCAAAGGCTCATTTTTCTCTCGCAGCATTGTCATACTCACCCGACGGACCTCTCACCAGCACCACGTGGCAATCACGTGATTCGCAAAGCACGGCTTGCATAAAAGCAGCAAGCGCCGTGGCCGACTCAATGATTAGATGAAGTTCCTGTACGGTTTTTGAAGTTACATGCTCACACATGACGTTGTGCAATGCGTAATGTTAGGAATACCTTTCTAGAGAAAGTGGCTGTACTCAACAATACAAAACTTCACGGAGAAAAGCTCCTTGGGAGTAATAGGTCCGGTAATAATCATAGTTTGCTTAGATTAAGTACACATGTTATTGTTATTGGTGCCTGCTGACTAGATGGCCCGCTGCATTGATCTGCAGGTTATTGCCGTCATTGCCTGTAATTCCCTGTAATAAACCAACTAACTGGGGCGACGCAAATGGTGGCGAAAACATTGGTGCACCGACATTGCATGGGCTTTTACGAAACAGGTGCTTTCGTCCTAACATGGGCAGCCAACGTCACTTTACTGGGATTCCGCAACTAGCATTCATGCATTCCCACCGTCTCATGCATACTTGTCACTGGTCGTATTAAGGGGAAGCCTATAGTGTGGTCACTGCACACTGTCTGCAGCTTATGTGCAGCGATCGGACCCCCTCAATTATGGGCGGAACTATACAGCCATACACCACGCGTACCTCGGACTTTGTCCCCAGCAAATAGTAGCCACCTGGTGCAAGGCTAACCGTGGCATGACCACGCAGCTCCCACCTTCTCTTGTTACAGAATAATGCCGGAATCCCTCATCGGCACGCGGGAGTCCCCCATCGGCTTATTACCCTCAGTTGCCGGAATCACACCTCGACATGCTGGAATCCCTCATCGTCTCTAAGGAATCATAACGCAAAGCATCTGAGACGCATTTAGCCTGTGGTGATAAAAATCCTTGCATTATACGCGTGGGAATTCACGGTTGCCACAAGCTGTACGCAGTGTATGAGCTATGCAAGATAATTGATTTGACATTTAAACAAGGACCTGACCACGACGCGTCCTCTCTCATGGCACGAAATTTAGGCCGAACAATATTCATTAGTCTTCTGTTTTCCTACAGATTGTTCATTGAAGTGCATATAAAAATGCCAGGCAGGGACCGGCATGGCATATAACAACACACATTAGTGACAGATTCATATATTGGGCATGTTAATTGCTGCGATACGACGTAAGCACGAAAACAGTGCACGACATGTCACCGATCAAAATTTATGTGCGAGCACGTGATCTCAAAAAGACCCGCAGAACGCATTTAAAATGGGAAAAAAAGAAGCCGGAGATCTCAGAATCGCCGAAGGGTCAGCGATTCCTCCGTCGGCTTACATTTTTTCCGAGGAGATGGCTGGTGAACTAGGTAAATTGACATGCATGTTAAAGACAGTACAAACAGGGACAAATTCAGGGTTTGTGGGCCACGCAACATTGCGGGACCCTCAGAGTTTCGGGCCCCCTCCAAAAAATACTAGTATGGCTGCCATTAAATCTTGGTTTGAAAAGCATAACATATGTATATATATATATATATATATATATATATATATATATATACATATATATATATATATATATATATATATATATATGATAGTATAGACGGGAACCCATCTACCGTTGCAGCCCTTGAAAGCTGGGCGTGTTACGTACGCACATGCATGGAGCTTATTCGTTTTCTTCTGATCATGGTAAATCCTGTCATATTAGGCTGAGTATCTCAGAAAAATAGCAGAATAAACTAAAGTTGGCTGTTAAATTCCATGAAAGTAAACACGACCTTGGTTCCTAGGTTATTAACGACTAGCCGGCTGGTCGATGTGATCAGTTGAAGGCGGATGACTAATCCGGAGTTTTCCTTTTGTTATAAAGCGGTGCAAAATATGCTAGCATTCAAAATATATTAAGGATGTGACGCACAAGTATAAAAAGTGCCACGATTTCAATAGCCAAGGCAAATGACACATCGGACGTCGGCGGCACAGCAAATTATCTTCGACAATTGCGCGCAAAAATTTATCGGCGCACATCCGACTGCTGCTCTAAGGGTAAGGCACCAAGGCCGATAGGGGCGGAACCTGAGCGATCATGGGTGCCTCGTGAGGCCAACAAAGGAGCTTTCGTCAACAAGAACAGGCTCCTCGGAGCAAACGAGAAGAACCCAAGACCAACGGGGTGGGCCCTACAACGATCGGTGGTGCTCCGGCAGGCTGACATATAGGACCCCAGCAGGAGCACAGGGCCCTCAGAGCAAAGGAAATTTACCGAGGACCAGTGCGATGAATTTATGCCCCTGTGCGATCGAGAGTGTCCGGGTAGGTGAAAAGAAAGAGCCATGGTAGGAGTGAAGGGTCCTCCGCAAGTGAGATCAAAGAAAAAGAGCCCTATTTAAGAAATAGGACCTGTGAGCACCGCGTGGCTCTGTACCTTACTTGCATGCGGTCCAGCAACAGCACAAGGCCCTCCGAACCAGTGAAAAGAACCCGACATCTATGTGAAGGGTCCATGAGCAACAGAGTGTACCCTGGCACATGGGGCCCCGGAAAAAGCGTATAAAACCATTCGGGCGAATGGGAAGAGTCCATGGAGGAAAACCTGATCGCTCAAGACTGTCCAGACATATGCAGAGTGTCCCAACAGCAGCGTAGCGCCCTACGATAAAATTCACAGATATCAATAACAGCATGAAAGACTTCCTAGCGATCCGAATGACCCGGCAAGTGGACATACAGCGCCAGTGCAACGGCGCAAGGCCTCCGCACAGGGCAGTGAGCCCCAAAATTCCCTCCAATTAAGAGCTCAATCAGCTAAGGATTAACTTCTGCGTATGGGCTCTTCACTTTCGTTTGCAACTGTTCTTGGTGGTCTGCCGCTAATGGCGTCCAACTTTTCGTTTTGAGTTAGAAAACCGTGTTCGTTCGGTCGGTTATGTGCCCCTTCGGAGCTTATGGGACACATCGGGGCACAAGGGGATATGGTCCCGTGCCTTACCCCCTCCCTCTGTAGCCACCACCAGCCTGAGCAGCTTAATAGATGGGGCCCTGCCTAGAACATAGGGCCATCAATTCAAATAGGACGTACCCAAGACAGAACATGAAGGGCCCCCGAACGATCGAGTGTGTCCGAGCAGGTTAACATATAGTGCCCCCGAGAAGAACGGAGGCCCCTCCATTCAAGTAAGGAGTACCCAACATCAAGTGTGGAGGGCCATGAAAAGCTCAAGTGTACCCTAGCAGATTATTAGATGGCCCCCGACAGGATCATAGGGTCCTACATTTAAATACCCAATGTGCAGGACCCCCAAACGATCCAGTGTGCCCAGCAGGATAGCAGATGGGCCCCCGACCAGTGTGTAGGGTTCTCCATTAAACTAGAAAGTACCCGAGACTCAATTTGGAGGAGCCTGAACGACCGAATGTGTCCAAGCAGTTTAACAAGTGGGCCCAGACAAGAGCCTAAGGCCAAAGACATATGGGAGCGTAAGGAAGTGAAAGAAATCTGGAAGGGCCCTAGATTGATAAAGAGGGCCCATGAGCACACTGGAAGTGCGTTGCTAAGTTAACCGAGACCAACGTGAGGGACGTCTGAAAAACCGAGAGTACCCCGGGGAGGTCAACATATGGAACCCCTAGCTATAGCGTAGAAAGCCTTTCAGGCAAATTGGAAGAGTCCGTGGAGGGCCTCTGATTGACAAGAGCACCCCGGCACGGTACCAGGAAAGGCCCCAGCGTGGAAGGCTCCTTAACGATCGGGTTGATCCCGCAAGTGGGCGTTTAGGTCCTCTGGACAGCGTAATGAGCCTTATAATATCCCAGCTACGGACCCCTTGGCCAGTGAAGAACAATTTTCGTCTACTGTTGGGCCCTTCACTTCCGCTTGCGACTGTTCTTAGACGCCTGGAAGCCCAAAAATGTCCTATTTTGCTATGTTTTGTGTTAAAAAAAACATCTGTTCTACCGGCTTTGGACCCCTCCGAAGCCTTTGGGCGCCTTCAGGGACTAGGGAGGGGGGGGGGGGGGGCATGATATCGTGCCCTCCACCCATGGATCCGCCGCCAAGTACAAAAGTAAGTTATACGTAAATTAAAGAAGAAAGGTTGGGGAGCGTTTAACATTGTTGCCCGCAATTTTAAAAGTGGGAGGGGGGGGGCATAGCTTCTTGACCTCCCTTTCCTTACACCGATTCTACCAGGAATCAAGTAAAAATTTATCCCCGGTTCCAATAAGGAAGTACCGCCACACAGTGATGTGGTGGTATTGTGACGTAATCAGACAATCAGCTGAGTGTTTGCGACCTTTGCTGTGTGGTAACATCAGCTGCAGCTGCTGCATAACTTTGTGCATGTGTGGGTGAGGCGGGTTGCGGGGTGAGTACGAGCGGGAAGGCGAAGTTCTGTTCATGTATGCTGCATAAAAGTAAAACAAGATAGTAGGAACATTCTTTAATGGTTAGCTTGTCTGATGATCTCAGCAATGCACGGGCTGCGTGCGGAATGCGCATAATATAGTTTGTGGTGGGAGACTTACGCCGTTGGCGCCTCACAACCAGCCGCATACTGCTGAGGGGTGAAGTTTCTTATTCAGTTACGGGATTCAGCCCCCACCCAACTTGAGCTCAAGACCCTGCAATATTGATATGGACGTGTGACAAATCTGACAAGGAATATGTTTGCACATTTTGGGAGTGGGTTTTGTCAATTTTCACTTTTGCTCATCTCATTTTGCAAAACTTGCTATTAACCCTGACTGGACAGGTCCTGTATGACTACCTTTCATTTTGGTATGAATTTCTGGACTAGAATGGCACCATGATTGTAGTAGAAAGCATTAAGTAAGCAACAGTTAAGAGTTATCAAAGTATTAACCTGAACTTTAAGTTATTGCAGACAAAGTCAATGAATTTCCAAGGAACAAGTGTGACTGATAAAACTTATGCAAACTGCTTGGGTAGCCTTAGTGACTGAATTGAAATGTGTAAAGATTGCATGCACCAATTAGGTCATGTCAAGAGCAGAATGTGCAAACTTTTTCTATGCCGTTACCCAAGAACAGGTAACCAGGAGTGCCCCTCCCTCAATCCCAGCGACGCAGTAAACCATACGTTAACACCAGAAAACATAAAATCAAGTCGCGGGACTCCCAGCTAGGAAGATGAAACAAACTTTAAAAAAACAGGCGAGGAGGTGGAGCAGACCCGAGGGAATTGTGTTATGTGAGAGGGAGGGAAAAATCATAGATGAAAAGGCTTAAAGTAGTCATTAGCCAAAATCAGCTAATGACAGCCCACTACAACCGCCCAATAATCTACAACCACTCAATTCCCGGTGTTAGTAAGGGTTATACAGTCACAAGTCAGAGGGGGCAATTACCTGGTCATTTTTGTGCTGGGTTTTGGGCTGGATTTCCAGGGAGTCCACCCAGCTAAGCAGAGCTTGTTGCTGGGAGAACTGTCTGTGATGCCACCAGGGTTTGGTGCCTTGAGAGGGAAGGGAGCAGCTGGTGAAGTAAGGCTGTGACTCTGGTGTTGTTGGCAAGAAATATGATAATTGAGTAGCCTAGGTACTGAGATTAAACAGTTTCTATTGATGCCAGTGGTCTATGGCTCCTACTGTTGCCACAAATGATGCTCTTGTGTGCTATGCTTGTTCCTTTGTATGGAATCACATACTCAGTCATGGTTGATTTACATACATCCAATGGTATTTCATTCGATGACTGATGGTAGATGATGGTCTTACTTTAATTCAGCCACTAAATAATGTGAATAGCTGGCCACATGGGCATGCAGTAATATGTGGACCTAGGTACCTCAATGCACAACCCTTGGTTGATGGGGAAATACCCATGTGTGTGGCCCGGGCAACTGAATGTTTTTTCCATCAATTAATGCCACTAATGCTTCCAGTGACGTACAAGTGATATCGAACCGTGGTCAAGAATATGGCAGAGCTACTGCTAGATCCTGATATTAGAATATGGGTGTTCTTGCCCATAGTAGTTCTCACATTCTTAATTGGCATTGTCAGACATTATCTGTCAATTCTAATATCTTCACCAAAGAAAGTTGAGCTCCAGCAAATGCAAGACAGGTGAGTGCTGCCCATATTGTTAAAGTGACATGCACTGAAGATGTTGTCTGAGCCAAGTGCACGTCATCCTGTGCTACCACTGCCTGCCAGCCATTTCTATTTTATGTACCATAAGCCAAAAGTGGTAACCTGGAGTGCCCCTCCCATTATCCAAGTGGCGCTATGAATGAACCATACATTAACATGAGACAACATGAAATCAAGCTGTGTCACTCCCAGCTGAGAAGTAGAAAGGAGCATTAAGAAGGTGGTGAAGAGATGTTGGAGATTATACAATAATGCCTCATCTTTTTTGAAAATTCCTGGAAATATCCCTAATGACAGTGTGCTGTTGAAAAGATGAAGAACCACATTGAGTATAACATTTATGATATTCATCATTGCATGTTACATGTGTAATTATGTAATAACATAATATTACATTGGTTGTTTCTACATTTATATTGTCCACTCCAGCCTTGGCATTGTTTAAGCCATTTGGAACAAAAATTAATCCATCTTCAATGGAAGGTAATATATTGTTTTATTTGCCACATGTGGGATGGCCTACATGCCACATCACCTGCCTTGACATCCACCTTGAGTTTTTCTTCAAATGACTGAGGAGACACTCCTGGTCTCCTCACTCAGTGGTCTCATCTACTTTGGTTTAGGGATCCCATCTCCACTAAGCATGAAATAAGACTCACACAAGTATTGCTTTGTCTCGATATCTGTCCAATTTTTTCTCATCTCAGAGCTCAGTTTTCCATTTCAGGTCCTCAGTTCCACCTTTCAGTGAAGCTATCCTGCATTTAGATAGATCCACCTCTTTCCCCACTGCCTCAACTAACACTGCCATCCCTTATTTGTTCTGTCTGCTCCTCTCAAACCCCACTCGAATAGTTGGCTTAAGTTATGTTAGATTAAGCCAGTTATTAACCCTGCCCAATTACTGCGCCTCATTCCATCGAGGTGAGATGCGTCGCGCCCGCTGCAACGAAGTACGTCCGCACACATCGAGGCCCGGAACACAAAGGATGATGCAAACACTTATGCTAATGTAGGCATGTATATTATTTTTCATCTGGGGTATCATGTAGCTGTTGCATGGTTGACTTTATTGGACTTTTCCAGCCAAGCACTGATCCGTGCTCGCTTGCTGAGAGAGAATGGAAAGTTCCTGCCACAGCAGGGATTCGCCATGCGGAAACATTTCTTCAACAATGAAGATGTTGGTAAGTTGGGTGACTATGGCTGGCTCCTGGTTGCTAGATCAGTCAGAATCCTGCCATTGTTTTGTGGTGTCATTTTAGTCTGGAAATTTATGCTTTCTGTAACCTACGTTTGTGAGATGTGTACGCTCTGATGCGCACGCGACGCTCTGCATCTTGGATTGTTCCAGTGGGGCTTGTGACTGCCAGCGCCGGCAGCACAGCGAAAAGGCCCCGCAATGGTGGAACCTGACATCGTCCTGACAGGGTCTGCTCTTTCTAGGTTTCTTTAAGACACAGAAGCGAGCGCCTGTTGCGCAGAACCCGATGACTGACCCCAACATGATGACGGAGATGTTGAAAGGAAACCTGACAAACGTACTTCCCATGATCCTCATTGGCGGTTGGATCAACTGGACGTTCTCCGGTTTCGTCACCAGTAAGACCGCTGTCATCGAATGTCTTCATGAAGTGATGATCACATTGCAGGCGTCTGTTTTTTTGTCGCATGAAATTTTTGTCACTACTTACCAGCGTCTAGCTTTTACGTGAGCACTACTGCTACGATGGTTGTAGCTTGGGGCAGGTGCAGTTTTCGAAATTCCGTAGCTTGGATCTGCCCCAACTTACGGCGGGTTTGGTTGTTATGTGCCATTGTCTGTAGCAGATGATTTCCGTGCAACCTCACCATTTGTACCTGCTCCGCCTGAACAGTGCACGGTATTCGTCCGTTCGAGTACTGGCACGTGACGTGGTCATCGTCATACCTTTTCATTCTGATTGTTCTCGCTCTCCCTGACGCTCCAGCCGTCGTGCTGACCTCGTCTCCTTCGACAGCCAAGGTGCCATTTCCGCTGACGCTGCGCTTCAAGCCGATGCTACAGCGCGGCATCGAGCTGCTCTCGCTAGACGCCGCCTGGGTGTCATCCGCCTCCTGGTATTTTCTCAACGTGTTCGGCCTGCGCAGCATCTACGCCCTGGTGCTGGGCGAGAACAACGCGGCCGACCAGGCTCGCCTGATGGCCGAGCAGATGCAGGGCCCCGCGGCTGCCATGCCGCAGGATCCCAAGGCCGCCTTCAAGGCCGAGTGGGAGGCGCTCGAAGTGTGCGAGCACCGATGGGCGCTGCGGTACGCCGAGACCGAGCTGCTCGGACCGGGTCTCACACAGGGCGAGACCATCTATCATCAAAATATGCTCCTCTAGGGCGATATGTGTGTAGCCGGCCAGTTGAAGATGGACGCGTTTGGGACTAGGTGTGGGCCGTTGTTCCCCTTGGTCGATGTATTTAGGGTCCGGTTTAGTGTAAGATGCGTGTTGGTTATGTGATTCATGTTTTGCTGCCAGGCATAGGCTTGTATAAATCGATTAGAACAGATTTGTAATTAGCACATGTTATTTGTGTTTGTGATGAATTCTGGTGACCCATTAATATCTGCAACCTACCCAAGGTTCATTTGTCGTACAAAAATACACATACAATATGGAAAAGAGCTCAGTGAAGAACATCTATGATGATGATGTATTTGAACCGTGAAAGCGACAGCTACGGTTACAGTCGGTGCAGATGGGGCAGCGCCTCACGTCTTCATTTCCGACCTGGGAGAGAATACGTCCCAGGCAGAACGAGCGGTCATGCCCGTACGACGGTCCTCTTCCTCTGTCCTTTGGGACGCAGCCGCGGTGCATGCTAGCGTTGCAGGTGCGCTGAGGTGACTGAACGTCACGTAGAGGCTTCGCCCTCCACTTGTTGGATCAGTGTTATGTTATCCCCCTTCAGGAGGATCCGACCTGCAGAGCAAAAGTGCAGGTCAGCGCCCTGTTGCGGTGACTGCAGCTGGGCCGGGAGACGAACGTTTCCGGTGGAGAAGTGCTTTCACAGCGCGTCTGGGAACCAGAGGTACGGGGCTCGACTCCCGCGGTACCCGCCCTTCCCGCCAGGGTCGGAGGCTGGAGGCGTCTGAGTCTCAGCTGCTGAGTACGTCGGAAAGCCCGAATGACGCAACGGTCCGGGTGGCGATAACAGCGCTGCCCTGTGAATGACACGTCACCAACATACTGACCCTAGGCAACGCGTTCAGAGCTGTGATCTTTGCCCAGACTTATTGACAAAACATTTCTGAGATGGTTGCCGTGCATGCGATACAGACCGAGGCCGCCGGCGCTTAGTGAGAGCTCTCAACGTAGAAGCTCTGACCATCGAAGAAACGACCATGTCTCGTGGACTCCTCAAGACTGTCACCCGCTATTGGATGCAAGACTGCCACACGCTATTACATTATCCAAGTTGTTTATCCACCTGACCACCCAGCTGGCATTCCTCCTTTTCTCGCTGTACGCAGAAGGCTGCTCCGGTTTCGGGCTTTCACTCCGGTATGGCGTTTCGAACCAACGTTTCGCCAGTCACGGCGCCATGCAATTGCTCACCTATCTGTCGGCGAGTCTTGTGCTTCTCGTTGACTTCCTCTGACTCTTCCAAGACCAGGTTCATGTACTCGTCAAAACCAATGATGTGGCCCTCTATCCTCATGTTGACGTTCTCGTAGAGCCATACTGAAACTCTGCTCCGATTTTGAAGATACCTGAATATGAGATTCTGGGGAGGTAGGTTAAGGAAATGCACATAACACCACTCAGAGGTAGTTAAGAGTCACAACTGCAACCTAAGCATTGCAGCCATCTGATTTACGGAACATGAACATTGGTGCTCATGGAAATACATTACAATGCATAACATTACTCATAGATATTTAAGTCACAACTGCAACCTTAGCATTGCAGTGATCTGATACCTGATCTTGAAGCCACGTGATGGATGATGATTTTGCATTTGGGGCATGATGACTGCCCAGGTCGTATGGTGTCCATTGCTGGACTGCAAGTTTCTGTGCATCTCACTACATTCATCCTGGCCACTCTAGTTCTATCAACAATTCATTTGCAATGCCTTATCTGATCAGGTACATTTCTATCTAAAATTCACTTCATTCTGTTTTTTTCACATCCATTGTCTGGTCCTGGAATCAATCAGGCAGGGTTGATGGTTCACATTGCACACATTTTAGATAAAAAGAGCAAATCATGTTTTGTATATTGGTACCTTCAATAATAATTCAAATATATGCTCAAGTCAAGTTGTCTGTGGTTTTAACCCAGATGGCTGACACAAATCTGATAATTTTCACTTTTGTGCATGACAAAGTCAGAAAATCCAGCCACTCCTGGCCTGGCTGAAAGGCAACCATCAGCCCAACCTGTGCAGCATTCCAACCGAGTCTTACCATACACCTGCTAGGGGCTTCTCATGTGACATGAACCACTTGGCTGCCTTTCTGGATTTGGCTGCTTTAGATACACAATAGGGACTTGATGGATCTAGAGGTCAATGGTGCAGCATCAATCCAGCACTGAAGATGGAAGTTTGTAATAAGTTTTGATAAAACTTGATTCTTGCTTTCCTGTTAGCCAATGGCATCCATCATAAAAGTTGGTTGCTTACATTTGCCATTTTTACCTTGTCAAACCAGAAACATACATCTTAACAAAATGTGTCAAGCATGTTGATGCTACACAGAGGTGGAGAACACTTCTCAGCATTTGCCACCAACAATATATCACAGAAACCCTCAATAATGTGTCACATAGTTATTGACATTGATTGTAAACATGCATGCCTTCTGTACTCAGCATGTTGTCTGTCACACATGTCAGCATGTAATTTTTCTTTTGCTAGCCATGTATCATGAAAAATAAAAGAAATTGCTGCTCATAACAACATTCAGAGGCCCAGCACACAATACTATGCTGCATGATAAATAATCATGCACTCCATAACTGTTAGGTCATATCACTGGGGCTTTATGACACACTCGGCTGCTGAGGCTATATTCCTGCCTCTCGTCCCAGCAGGAAGGGCAGGCACCCCGGGGAATCAAACCCTAGGGGAATCAAACCGCATCTCTAGTTTCCCAGACGTGCAGTGGTTAACACAGAGGTGTTAACCACTATGCTACTGGCACCCCTCACTCTATGACTGTGTTCTCTATTGTGAAATGCTGTGCACAAGTCGCATCCCATGTCAAAAGAAAGCACATGAGGGCAGCTCCCCCAAGAGTATAGCCACTTGCATGTGATGTAAGCACCTGTAACAACACATACAGCACCTTAGGTGTGTACTTTTGGCAATGAGGAACACGGCCTTGGTATCATTTAAGTCGCGACACCGCAACGTAACAGAAATGAAACATACCGACCCAAAAGGATACAATGGGCTGCACCATTACTTTCTGGACTTTCTGCGCACCTCTGTAAGCCATTTTGAGTACTTTCCCTTGCTGCTGAAGACCTACAATGCACGGCCTATATATGCAACCCTCTGCAGAACCTTAGCCGGCGTTGCAACGCCAATTCCCACGAGGCCAGGCAGCAATGAAGCCAACGCAATGTTGAAGCATGGATTGATTGTATACAACGCGGCAATTTCGTCGGTCTCCACCGATGTGGGTGAGAATGAAGCATAGGTGCGCCACCTTCCTAGGATAAATAATGCGCCAGCTAGCCATTTTTATGACGCCATTGAAATCAGCAGGGGCAAGCTGCCTCTCCATCTTTTGAAAAGGGAGCAAGGATGTTTTTGCTCCCGCCATATTTTATGGTAACCCAGAAGGGCCCCTCAGATATTTAGTAGCATTTCCTTATTGCGTTACCAAAGCAAGCGTAGAAGGCTCTTGTCTGATGCGGAAAGGTCACAAGGGATTTGTATCGTCTTCGCGAAGGGTCATCTTAAATTGCAAACGACCATTTTCCAGACGGGAAATCAATTGCGTCACTTGCAGGCACGGCAGGGGCCCCTTTCTGGTCTGGAAAGGCTCATCGTAGGCTCAAAAAGGGCCCGTCTCAGGAAGGGAAAAGGGCCCATCGTAGGCTCAGAGGACCTTCTCAAGCCTGGAACGGGTTCATCATAAGCTCAGAAACGGGTCGTCTCAAGTCAGGTAGGGACCCAGCATAGGCTGAGAAAAGGAGAACTTTAGGCTCGGAAAACACCTATCACACTTTTGGGTTTGGGAAGTGCCCATCTCTAGTCTGCAAGGGGCTCATTGTTGGCTCAGAAAGCCAGTGACGGTGAATCCGCGGAGTAAACTGTCCCTCATATGAGAGGTAAAGTCCCAAACTATAGTTTTCGCCAGTTTTCAGGTGGTCCAGATGGAGCCCTGGCGGATTTTTGGAATAGATCCGTTGTCAAAGTAGGTGTAGAGAGCCCATCTTAGATCCGGAAGGGGTCAGTTTCAAGGCAGGAAACCCCTATTGCAGTTTCAGATATGAGAAGGATCCTTCTCCGTTCTGGAAGGGCCTACTGTAGACCCGTCTCTGATGAGGACAGGCCCATCGTGAGCTAAGAAGGGCTCCGTCTCAGGCCCGGGCAGTGCCATCATGAGTAGAGACAGAGCCCTCTCAGGTCTGGAAAAGGTCCGTCGTAGGCTCAAATACGGTCTCCCTTAAATTATAAAACAACACTTTTAGACTAAGAAAGTGGGTATCTCAGGTCCGGAAAGGGCCCACCAAAACACTTAAGCCCGAGAAGAGCTTCTCTCAAATCTCGAAATCTCTCTCTTTCACCAGGGTTGGTAAGAAGGGATGAGAGCGGCACACAGTTTGAAAAAGACAGTGAAATGATTTTATTTCAAAGCTACCCAGTGAAAAGAAACTCCGAAAAATCGCCAGATTTGGTCCAATTTATTTGGAGGGTCCCAGCTTTGTCTTCATCATGTCGACAAATGCGTTCGTTGAGGGGCTTCGTGGATTGAACGCATGGAGGCAAGAACGTTTCAAGAAATGGGGGAGGGGGGGGGGGGCAAGCCCAGGGCGTACTTCAGGAACTTTTCTGGAAAGGAAGCCCGATGACCGGGGGGAGGGCCGGCGGAGGGTACAGATGGAGGTTGTAATCGCTCTTTATTCAAAGGCCATGGCTGCTATACTAGATATGCATTCAGAGCTGTTTCTCACTCGTGCACAATCTTGCCCATTCGACTCATCTATGTCATTCGACAAAGAAGGCTATCTAGCTTCCCAAGATGATTCATCCATTTCAGCATTGTCTTTTTTGGGAGGCGAAATTCCACGACCGGTTAGGCATTCTGGGTCATTGAGAAGGTATCTGCCTCCACAGGGTAGAAGCCAAAATACGGCCTGGGCATAGGCTGGTGAAAATTTCGAAAGTGAATCGGTGGCTCACAGTGCGACAGATTTTCATTCGCCTTCATTTTGCTGGCTGCTTTTGAAGAGATATCAAGGCTCGTCGCAGCATTTTAGGCGAAACCAATTCAGAAGTTTGAAGCTGCCAAAAACAATGTGATAAAAGCCATAAAAATGGAAAAACTCCTTTAAAAACCAAGCCAAAAAATGAAGGCCCTTCTGTCGTATATTCATTATCTAGGCCCTGCTCCCGTTCGCCGTTGGCGGCCACTGCCCCGGCCCGGCGGTCTTCGCATGGC